TCTTGTTCATCCTATACTAAAAAGTGTGAAGACATTAAATCCGAAAGTTGAGAAACATCAGTGATCTGGAAGATACAATATTACATTAAGGAAGATGCATGAAGACACATTGGAATTAAATGAAGAAGTAGAAAAACCTTCGAAATATGTCTGTTGTGAATAGTGAATAGTTTCATTGAAAGTAATGGCTACCAACTGGCAAATGGCCATCCCATACCACAGACCAAACTCCTCTTTTGTCAGAAGAGAAACCCTCTTTATCTTGAAAAGGGTTCTGTGGATTGCTGAGCAAATAATAAAAGACCTGGATGAGAATTTGTAAGATTATTAGATATTTAATAAAATGAGTGTATAGATAAATACTCAACAACAAAAGTTTATGCGACACCAATATTTTCAACAGGTAAAGTTTGATTTTCAATATTGTAGTACATGTATGGAATCAAGTCAACAAAAACGCAACTGCTACAGAAAAGCATGTGTTGATGATGATGCATTTTGTTTTCGTTTATCTGAATCTGGCAATTCATATCTATCTGGAATGTGAGTCTGTTTACAAAGTTTGGATGTAATTTAAAAACAAAAATAACTGATCACATTCAAAATTGAAAGAAATTAATTCCATAAATATTTTGGTTGTAATTTAGAAATATGCTTTTGATACACATTGTATTAGCCACCAAAGATATACTAGCTGAAAAAAAACCCAAATATGTCTAACATAAAATTCAATAAAAATACATCTATTCTCAAATTAAAAAATACATCTTTCAATACATATTCATTACGACTTCGAGTTTAAGGTCTTGCTTCAAAATTTGCACATGCATATTCATGCACGACGCACAGTTTGGATGTTTGCGGGTTTGTTGGGTGCATGATACTGACACTTATTGTTTATTAATGTGAACAGTGCACACTGTTTGTTTAACTATCAGTAGATCACCCAAAAAACACCCACTATTTTAACCCTAAATAAGGGCAAACTGATATAGATATGAACAGCTCGGATAATTTCTGCATGGAGACCAATTAGTGGCAGAATCGTACGCACCCAGTTGAGGCAGCTTAACATCTGGCCCGACGTCCAGCGATACGCCCAATTTTGCCTCTACTTCGCCTAGGTGTAGACAGCATCCTCAGAAGTCAAGACTGGGAAAGTATATTGTTCACAGGTGAGTCCAGGTTTCATCTTTACAGCTCTGATGGCGTGCAAGGATCTACATACGTTCATGAGAGCGTTTTAGTGTCATCAGTTTCGGGGATAGAAGTGTAATGGCATGTGGTGGCATCACAACCCGTGGGTAAATGCAACTCATTATTGTAAATGGGAATTTTGTATGATGTTCGCCACCGGGACAACATCGTATGAGATCTTGTACCCTTTGTGCAAATGCTGTGAAACACCATCACCTTGCAGCAGCTTAATACCCGCCTAAACCTTGCACGTGTTGTAAATTAAAGCGACATAGCCCTTTTCATATTCATAAGAAATCTCTGCTAAATTCCGACAGTATCATAAGCAGATGTTTATGAATCACTCTTACATAGTGATGATACCTGGTGCCCGTTCCTCAAAACGATCTTAGAACTACGATGGTAAAGCATGGGAGCTGAGATCGTCTTAGCGCTATGATCGATTTGTGGAAAGGGCCAACATGTTTGTGGAAAGGTGAGCATATCCTGCCCTAAAGGTGGCAACCATCGCCAACACATACAAATGCAAGTCAGTTGTACCCCTTAAAAAGTCCACTGAAACATGCAAGTCAAAATTGGGGATTGCAATGGACATATTTTGTTTTACTAATACATCAGATGTGGAATTGCCCTCCATGTTTCCACCCTAAAACTCTTTGAGAGCTTCACTGAGGCCTTGAATTTTGTAACCTTGACATATCTTGTACTGTAGGTTTATGAGGCAGCACAACATTGTTGGGTTTTTGTTGTTGTTTTTTTGGGGTTTTTTTTTTGGGGGGGGGGGGGGGGGGGGGGTGTGTTTTGGGGGTGTGTTTTTGTTTTCGTATTTTCCGTCATCTGAACTTCTATACACTCGTCCTGTACATGTAGAACAGAGTAAAGTTTTAGTGTACCAAAGTGCAAAAAATAATACATCTGCATTATTTCGATTCACATTTAATATACAAACTAACTGTGTTTTTTAGACAACAATTTATGCACATGGTTTCTACATTGCATAAAACCCTATTGTCTCCCTCATATTTATAAACAAAATAAGTTTCCTAAAGTAACTAAGACATTTCTTCATGGAAAATTATTTACTTAATTAAAGGTGTATGACGGAGTAAATATGACCAAATATAATGTAGATATAATTTTAAGTTCAAAACACATGGCTGTTTCATTAAGTACTATAAGTACTGAAATAATAAATAAATACAATTTACTGAAACAAATTTCACGTAAATATATTCATAGCATTGTTTTTTCAAACTTCATTTTTTCCAAATCTTGCCTAATTTAATGCCTGTTCAAATTGTCACAAGCACGCTTCCATACTGTCAGATACCAGAATACCATTGGGAGTTGGGTAATTTGGCCTTCCCATTGGTAGTTGCATCTTCATAAATAATCTCACATCACAGAAACAAGTAACATTTCCTTTGTAATCATAAAACACTGTCCACTGAGACTATAAATACACGTCTGAACGATAGTATTGCAATGGTTTGTCAAAATTATTCTAAAGGTAAAGAACAGAACACATACCTTTATGATCAGTTGTCAGTTGTCTGTCAGGAACCGATAAACCTTGCAGGAATAACAAAAAACTGATCATGTTATTCCGAAATAAACGTTGATGACAACCAAGCGTGGTAGTATACTTGGTCCCGTCTAGCAAAGTTAGCTTTGGATGTCGCGTATTTCGAAAGCAAAACTAGTTCATGAGTACAGCATGTCACCGGAAATGCTGGTACTGGAAGTAGCGTACCTATTTGGTACAATACATTTACTGATAATCTAAATGTTTATCAATCTTGTCAGTTTTGTCTGCTTTGATGTATACAACTGTGCTGCGTGGATTCATACAGTTCACACATTGGTTTTCTTGATTTATACCCCATTCTACCATGACAGTGAAGAATGCTAGATTGCTTAAAAAGAGGTTTCCTGTTTGCTAGGGAAACTCCTTTTAAATACTGTAAGCCTTTTCACACAAAAAAGCGTATGCATGAATACATGGATAGCCTACATATCGATTCATTAAAATGGCTGCCGATCGATCACCACTAGGAACTGAAAAACGTATCGATATGTAGTCTTTCACATACTTAGTTTCCAATACAAGCAAAGTCTCTTATACAAGTCAATGGCTCTCGCAAAATAAGTAGGCGGCCTAGCATCTGATAAAGGATATACGATAGTTTCATATCGGATGTTTTCGGGGACGAAATGCTGTTGGCTGTAATACTGAATGCTTCGGAGATGAGAATACAAAGCTCTATGAAGGTTTATCTTTTGCATACGAATTAAATGTTCAAGAAACTGTCAGGGACATGTCAGCGAACAGACATGGAATAGGTAATTTCGGACGTCATTAAAACAACCGACAATGAAAGTAAAATATAACATCATAAAAATGTGTTTGAAGATACTCTATTTATGACAGATTATTTACAAACCATTTTGTGTTTGATATTCAATGCCGCCTCTGTCAACACGCATACTATTTCTGGGCCACAAAGGTCTCATTCCTTTCACACTCTGGCTTTGAATCCATTAAATCTTGACATATTGACAGGTCAAACCATGCAGTTTCCTCGTGTCAAAATATCCGCCTCGTCTGCAGCCTTAAAAACGGCTGTTCAGTCACATTCAGTTCCTGTATGTTTTGATCAGTGTATCATTCCCAGTAAATCTACAGGTTAATGTTGAACCACATCATAGGTTCCACAGTGGCACGTCTCTTTGTTTAACTAGTTACAGAGAATATAAACACTACATTGTCAGCCATGGACAGTCGTGAGGTGTGAATAACCGTGATGTAGGTCAAGTTCTGCCACATCCAAGTTCAGTTAGGGGAGGCATTTATCATGATTTTTTGTTATTATTAATTACTTTGGGTAACTGCTAGCTTTCTAATAAGACTTACACATGTTAAATACATATTAGAATTATTAATTCATAAAGTTTGTTGTAGAAATATATCCATTCAGCATTTGTAAAACTATGTCTACAACCTGTCATCCCTACAATGGAAATGGCATGTTCGATTTCCTAGAAATGACATCTCTCGCTGATTTCCAAGACTTGACTGGGGTCAGCCCACACCGTGCAGATCAGGTTGTTTGAAATTAAAACGTTTGTCTTTGGACCAAGTTTGGAGTGTAATTTGTCAACTTCCTTTTGAAAAGCTATGTGTTTTAACACTTACTTTGAACTAATCAAGACTATGGTGTCTTTAGTCTTGAATTTTTGTAATATTGTCACATATATAACTACCTGTGACCACTCTTCAGAATGTTCTAAGATTGCCGACCTTTGTAGCCTGTGCTGCTACACGTTGCAAGAGAGCACCGTTTTCAAACCGTCGTTGCCGGCATGGTAGAATGGAGATAAACCTACTGTGTTCAGAAATTTGATGTAGTCCCAATGAAGAGTAGATTTGGAGCCGAGCGCTAAAGCAACACATCCACATTCTGAATTACTTATGCATAGAGCTATTACAGTCTTCATATAATCGAGCTATGTCCAAAGTGCAGTGTTGAGTACCGATAGATCGAGGGTTCCTATGAACGTAAAGCAGTAGGTTTATCTCCTAAACCACACATCGTCTATAAATAACAATTGTCTTACCTGAGCATGAAAAGTTCCAAACTCAACAAATGACAATTTCTCAAGATCAAAAGACTATTTTATCTTAAAAAACAACAACGTTTTTCTTCTTAAAACTGGCATATAAACCATGACGACGTGAACGACAGACCACGTTGCTGTCAGTGACACTGTCCTTCACTGTCCGCACAAACATTACATAGACGTCAATAAGCGCCCCAGGACAACATGAGATCCACCACTCGCTGATGTCCCAGACGTTTCGCCCAGTCAACCGCTGTCCACCCATTGATGTTCAATGCGTTGATGTCCACCGCGCCCAGAGATAGGATAAACTCCACCGTCTTCACGTGTCCTCCAAGACAGGCCCAGAAAAGGAGGTTGCTATGTCCAGAGTCAAACACTGACAAATCAGCGCCGAAATTTATAAGGAGCTCCAACACTTCTCTGTGTCCGCCGTATGCTGCCCACATCACCGGTGTCTTGCAGTACCTTCCAGCTCTACAGTTGATGTTGACATTCCCACTGGACAGGATCCGTTTGACATCCATCATTTTCCCATCCCTGCTGGCGACATAGAGGTCGTGGCAGTTTGCTGGTGATGGAGTCACTGAAACGCAAAGTAAACCCTGTACACATCCCAACATCTTTGTCATACAACTACACTGTTAACACCTCAAAGTGTTGATATATGACACGAACATGGCTGACAATAATATAACGCTTGGGGGGACTGACGACAGCTGGTTCAGGTAATTAAGGAGTATGTATTTAATGTTTATATTTATCCGTTTCATGCAGTAGTTGTAACATTATTGTGTGTGTGGTGGGGAGTGGTAACGTTTGATGAACTGGGCCTTTATAGGATGCTAATGTCAGTCTATTACTGCTTGAAATTATTAGGTAAGGTTATTCGAGTCTGAACAAGACAATTGAGAGACTGACAAGATGAGCATCAATCTACGCAACCGATATGGCGACACGCATCAACCAAGTCCGACTTCCCACGGGTCTAGCTGTACATCTGTTAATTGTTGACTTTGAATTAAGGGTTGAGAGGTGATATACCACCTGTTGGGTTCTCACACCTACCCCGTGAAGCAGGCTTTTGTGTCGTAACTGGGAGCACGAGAACGCTTTTGCTCTGCCTCCGATCCTGACTCAGGTCACCTGAGGCTGAAACACAGAATATGGTTTTCTGAAAACTATACATGGGACACATGCATTATAGATACTGTCTGCAGGCACGTTTTGCAATTTGGCAAATATGAAGTCATTGTGGAGGCGTGTCAGTACACGTTTTGTTGGAATCATGCCTTACGGTGGTACTGTCAGTGCAACTGTTGACCTGTTAGAAATGAATAACAATAGGTTGCATTTTTCAACTTGTAGACTTGTAATTGTAGAGACAGCTTAAATGAATGCTATGTGGAGTGGGCGTTTTGGCTGATATTTGTTACATGATAATGTGGCCAGCCACGTCTTGCACAAGGTTGGACAGTGACACCTGCTGGCTTCTCCAACCTACAGCCTCATTGCCTGGGTATGCCAAACAGACCCATCAAATAGGGGCCTCAACTAGACATACAAACATGGCGGACACGACATGTATTTACTGTAGAAAAATGCTAGAACGGGTGGTTATTTTGTTTGTTTGCATTTTAATGAATGCTGTTGCAATGTATACATCATGAGAATAACATCCATTGTTATTTTTAGTGAAGGAAAACATTATTTAAGGTGTTCCAAGACTCGAAAGTCATCGTCACATCGATGAATGTATACAATGACACACACCCAGTTTGCAACAGTGATATGTGCATTAATATTGTCATTCACAAGAAATGCCATTCATTTCGCATTTGTTTTCTTATTATATAATGACATTAATCATTAGTGTGGACTAGTACAAATAGCCACACACACACGTGCATGCAAGTGCCTATATAAGCGCAATAATCTTGGACGCGACGTTAAACCCCATTTCACCTCACCAATGTAATGATGATAAAATATTAAGAGCATCAGGTCTACTTGATCCGGTGCTTGTGAAACACAGTTGTAATTCCGTGTCAGGAAAACTGGTACAAGATTACTTTCTGAGGCAGAAACTGTAGACGACACAACACTGCTTCTTGTTTAATATTGTGTTTGGTGTGAGAAATGAACAAGGTTACAAACGGATGCAAATATGTTGCGACAAAGACTGAAATGGCCACTGCTCGTGAGATAGGGGCCGAAATGTTTTCGCATTTGTCGATTTTTGAAGAGTCAGAAAACAATGAGAATCATGCAAATTTGCCCTACATTACCTTACCATTCCTTAAAAAAAATGTTGGTGCATTTGTTCCACGTATCATTTCCCGCACTGACATAACAGAGAGCTATATCGGCCTTTGTGTAAAGAACATTAGGCTAATACATATGACCCGACACTTGACTGGACAGAGTTAGAATATTCGCATATAATCTTCCGTCTCAGATATAAATAATAATCAGTTCAAAAGATGAAACTTTCAAGCATACATTTTGTAACATGGTGATAAAACAGAAGAAGCCCATCGGTTGAAAGGCCCCGTTGAAACGTTTGCATCCAGAAGAATGTTCGTCCCCGGTAACAGGCTAAACAAACGTCTGGATGTAAACACTGTGTGAAGCAAGTACCTGATTCCTACTACATTCACTCTGTACACCAATCCTACTGTATGTCCATGTTCTGTTTCAACTTATACCCTGACACGAGCCACACACCTCACTGCCAGTCATGAAATGCCATGACTGGCGACAATACGACCGCAAAGGTGCGAGCTATGACGTCATTGTTACTTGTCAGGAGCACGTCATAGTTTGGTGCTCGACTGCCTATAAATGATAAACCACTAGTGACACTACTTCAGAGCTACTGTAGCCTGAACCTCACCATCTAGCCAGCCGCTGGGGAGCATGGCAAAGTTTAACGCTCGACTGCCTATAACGGATCAACCTGAATCTTACCATCCATCCAGCCGCCGCTCTAAGATTAGTGCAATGTTGAGTGATATACTAATGAGTGGGTGAGTGAGCTTTTACACCGCTTATTGCATTATTCCAGCAATATTACGCCGGGGGACACGAGAAATGGGCTTCACACATTGTATCCATGTCGGGAATCGAACACCCAAAATGCCTTCTCTGGAAATATGCAAACATACATTCATTTCATTCTGAGAAAACTAGATCCTAATTTTTACTGAAAAGCACAGAGCAAGGGCCATAACTCTTCTTGAGTCTTGATACCCATGCAAACTTACATTCAGCTAACTTAAGTAGTTTCGTTTTCACGCAGTATGTACCAACTTTAAAAGGACGGATCAAGGGATATTACTCTTTAAAAAAATAATTTACGACACCGATATTTCGAACTCATTTGAGGTCAATGCAAGAAACATCAGTGTGTAAAATATCCTTTCCCTAACTTTAAATTGTTTTTGGGAGAATTTGTTCCCTTTGAGAAGCGGGCTGACTTTGTTGCGGGTGATGATAATATGTTTTCATTGAATCACACCAGTGACAGGAGTCTGATTAACTACAGCTTGATTTGATGAGTTCTTTCTGTGTAGTATTCACGCAGTAAGGAATCAGGAAAAGAAACGTGAGGCTGTTCTGTAATCCATGTAATCAATGTAGTAATATAGTGCAAAAGAAACAGACAAGGTCTTATCTCAGATAGCGTGTTTTGATTGATGTTCAGTGGTTTGGAGCCTCCACTCCAGCTCTAATGCGACTGAAGTGATAGAAACAGGATTAAATGAAACATTGTACACCACTTTGCGTGAGACACCACATACCTTGCACACCGACGGCTTTTCCAGATCCACTCTCCAGACTTTGGGAGGCCCGATTGCAGACCTTGGATGCGGAGGGTTTAGTCAGGACCTTCAGACAGCAATAAAAAGAACCTTGTCAGACAAAGTGTATATCTGTGATTTTTATCAATATGAAGTGATGTGGTCGATATAGCATTCCAAACTTTGTATGTGAGATCTCGAGTAATGTAGGGCATGTGTCATTATACCAAAGATGCAACGTAATGAAGCTGGAAACATCAGTCAGTTATTCATGTTAAACTTGTCAACATCATGTATTGACTATGAAATTGGGAATATAATAAAAGCGACAAAATCTTCTCCATAATCATAAGAAGAGGCCAGTGTACCATTCCGACTATGTCATAAACAGTATTCGGCCAGTGAAAATTTAAGTAATAGAATACAATTTGTTATTACTTATAATAGTTTACATTGCTAGAATTACCATGAAAGCATGTTGTCAAGCAGGGTGCGGGTAAGTGTAAGTTGATAATGCTTTCAGTTTGCCTAACGATGGGCCTTTGTAAATCATTCACTCAATTCACTGGCTGTTACTGTTACTTGCTGATTGCCGGATTACTTTGGTGATAAATAGAATATCAGCCTTGTGTTCTTGATATCAAAAATACTCTTAAAAAAAGACACACATAGTTACGAAATAAGAATATTATTAAGCTGATGTAAACGTATTAACACCAAATATGCGTGAACACAATCAAATGAAATTTGACACAGTGATCGACAAAAGCATGGTCCTCATTGTCAGCATCAATTCTTTTCAGTCATTGCACAAGGGGGCGTCATGGTCAGTACCTGGTCACACCACCTCTTGCAGCCGTCACTGCTGGACACATGCTTGGCACAGATTGCACAAGTCGTCTGATTTTTTCGTGGGGAATTCTTCGCCATTCCTCCTGTAAGGCATTGGCGAGTTGTGCCAGTGTGTGGGGAGGCTGGTGATGTTGACGGACGCGTCGATCAAGTTCGTCCCACAGATATTGAATGGGGTTGAGATCAGGGGATTTGGACGGCCATTGAAGGACATGGATGTTCTCATTAACAAGTAAATTATCTGTTGCACGTGCTGTGTGGGGTCGAGCGTTGTCATATTGGAACAGCTCCCTCTGGCGGTCCAAAGTTGGGAGGAGGTGAGGACGCAGAATTTTGTCTATGTATCGGTTTGCTGTAAGATTGCCCTGGACAACTTCTAACTGTGATCTACCCGTGTAGGATATGGCTCCCCACACCATGACACTCCCTCCACCAAATCGGTCTACCTGTTTGAGCGCAGTTCGGCGCAAAACGTTCATGTCGACGTCGGTATACACGTTGTCTTCCATCCCGTCGTTGAAGAATAAAACGTGACTCATCGCTGAACCAAACGCGTCACCAGTTCCTGAGATCCCATGCCTGTACTCTGTTGCATCACCGGACACGTCGTTGACGGGGTAGACGTCGCAAGACAGGTCCATCTTTTGGTCATCTCGCTTGATGTCCCACTTCCCTCAGATGATTTCTGATGGTCGGAAATTCTTTGCATACCAGGCACTTGTCCCGCAGTGTCCGGTGCTGTTGCAAATCATTTCCGAAGGTGATGCAACCAGATGTACCGATCCTGAGCAAGGGGGGTCACTCTTGGTCTTCCACTTCTGGGATGATCTTGAGTCGAATTAGTGCAGGTATATCGATCCCATAGTCGAGATATGGTGCTTTGGTGAATGTTAAAGTGTCTTGAAGCGGCAGACTGGGACTTCCAAACGTCCAATGCCGATATTTCGGTCAACTGCAGTAAATCTTGGCATTTTTCGATCTCTGTTCACGTCAGAAAATTGGTAATGAACTGATGAATTTTGTACGGTCTTTTATAGTCAGTGTCTCTACTCTTGTTTCCAACATTTTGCACGTGCATTATGCTGAAATTTTTTTCTGAAAGCAATTTCCGTGCATCCTCTGCATTTTTGCTGATAAACGTTTACAAAATAACATTTTGAGATGAGTTTGCGTGCAATGCACAACAAACATGACATGATTAACGGGAATCAAACATAAGAATTGTCTTTATGATGATTGCTGGGAAAAAAGAATCTGATTGGAATTCTCAAAACACCTATGCATTTCTTTTTTAAAGAGTGTATTTCAATACTTGCATAAAAAGATGTTCGACATTGATTCTCTGGATTATGTAAACAAACATAGCTTCCCGTCAATAATGGAAAAATCTGAAAATTTGAACAGCTCCCATAATTGTATTCCTTAATTATTGGCGAACTGAAAGGCCATAGTCGAACAACACGTTGTTGTTTGATTGTTTGAGGGATATTTTGATACTAAATATTAATTATTTTCAATTAAGCTATTAAAAAGGTGATGCAATTTTTCAGAGCACTTTCTTTTGCAGAATCTGTCTGTTGAGTAGCTGTCCTCGGAAGACAGCAGGCTTCTGCCAATCATAATCCCTTGAAAAAGAGCCTCAACCTTATATAAGCTTGCGTATTCAGCACTATCATAAATGGCATATAGTTTTGACACGTTTGTAATTCTCATCAATATTTTGCTCAAGGACAAATTGTACTGAAAACATTTTTATTTCTTGAAGGCTTTGGTTTCGCCCAAAGTCACTTGATTCAATAAATTGGAACTGAGTGATATTCAGTGTGGATCCTGTGATCCTAGCTAAGATCAACACACCGTCACACATCTACACACACTTGACATAAACATAACTTACATGGGGATGGTTTTGAGGACGGACACTGAATCCGCCCGTCCCAATGTTCTTTGATTTACGACAGGATGCAAAAATGAAGCTCTCTTGGCAGTACAGTTGGCAAAACTTGATATCAATAGTTCCGAAAGTGGTAGATCTGTCCTTCATTTTCTCCGTCATGTGAAGTCTGCATTCCTTTGTGCTGCATGTGGAAAATACACACATGATGTAAACAGTTGCTGTTAAAGCCATCTGCAGACTGTAACTTGAACACAGCGGCATCATCTTCAGTTGTTGACAGAGGAGTGCTGGTTACACAAACTGGTTGGAGGACTATCAGACAGATTGCAGCACAACGGTAAACCACCAGGTAGAATGTAACACAGCTGTTAAGAGACCAGGTAAACTGTAACACAGCTGTTAAGATACCAGGTAGAATGTAACACAACTGTTAAGAGATCACCACCAGATAGACTGTAACACAGCTGTTAAGAGATCACCACCAGATAGACTGTAACACAGCTGTTAAGAGAACGCCACCAGATAGACTGTAACTCAACGGTTAAGAGATCACCACCAGATAGACTATAACACAGCTGTTAAGAGAACGCCACCAGGTAGACTGTAACACAGCTGTTAAGAGATCACCACCAGGTAGACTGTAACACAGCTGTTAAGAGATCACCATCCAAAAGACTGATGCCTCTCCCGACGTCACTTGATGCATAATTTAAGCAGCTGTTTTCGGAACATTCACAAGCTGAAGGGATCAATATATCATACATGTTTAAACATTTGCTGACACTTTACATGGATATATAGATACAGTCAATTGGTGCAAATTATTGCTGTAAAATACACTTGCCTGCACTACATCATGGTCAATTACCACGAGTTTGTGAGTAAGTGAGTGAGCGAGGAGGATTTTACGCCTTTTTAGTAATACCCAAGTCACATATATTTGTGTACTTGCATACATATTTGACATTTAACATAGTTAGTTAGTTCTTTACAACCATCTTCAAAACAGTCCCTTCCCCTATATGACCATCACCCAAAAACTCCCTTCCCCTACACCACAATCACCCAAACAGTCCCTTCCCCTATACCACCATCACCCCAACAGTCCCTTCCCCTACACCACCATCACCCCAACAGTCCCTTCCTCTATACTGCCATCACCCCAACACTCCCTTCCCCTATACCACCATCACCCCAACCCTCCCTTCCCCTACACTACCATCACCCCAACAGTCCCTTCCCCTATACCACCATCACCCCAACCCTCCCTTCCCCTACACCACCATCACCCCAACAGTCCCTTCCCCTACACCACCATCACCCCAACACTCCCTTCCCCTACACAACCATCACCCCAACACTCCCTTCCCCTACACAACCATCACCCCAACACTCCCTTCCCCTACACAACCATCACCCTAACAGCCCCTTCCTCTATACTACCATCACCCCAACAGTCCTTTCCCCTATACTACCATGACCCCAACACTCCCTTCCCCTACACCACCATCACCCAACAGTCCCTTCCCCTAGACCACCATCACCCCAACACTCCCTTCCCCTACACAACCATCACCCCAACACTCCCTTCCCCTACACAACCATCACCCCAACACTCCCTTCCTCACACCACCATCACCCCAACAGTCCCTTCCTCTACACCACCATCACCCCAACAGTCCCTTCCTCACACCACCATCACCCCAACAGTCCCTTCCTCTACACCAACATCACCCCAACGGTCCCTTCCCCTACACTACCATTACCCGTAACAGTCCCTTCCCCTACACCACCATCATCTCAACAGGCCCTTCCCGTACATCACCATCACCCCAACAGTCCCTTCCCCTACACCACCATCACCCCAACACTCCCTGCCCCTACACCACCATGACCCCAACACTCCCTTCCCCTATACCACCATCCCCTCAACACTCCCTTCCCCTACACCACCATCACCCCAACAGTCCCTTCCCCTACACCACCATCACCCCAACAGTCCCTTCCCCTACATCACCATCACCCCAACACTCCCTTCCCCTACACCACCATCACCCGAACAGTCCCTTCCCCTACACCACCATCACCCGAACACTCCCTTCCCCTATACTACTATCACCCCAACAGTCCCTTCCCCTATACCACCATCACCCCAACAGTCCCTTCCCCTACACCACCATCACCCCAAAAGTCCCTTCCCCTATACAACCATCACCCCATAATTCCCTTCCCCTATACCACCATCACCCCAACAGTCCCTTCCCCTATACCACCATTACCCCAACAGTCTCTTACCCTCCAGTACCATCACCAACACCACAATCAACCCAAACGGTCCCAAAATCTACACCAGCATCAACCTAACTGTCCCATCTCCTACACAATGCCAACATCCCCATCAGGTACATCACCATCAACCCAACATCCCGATCACCTGCACCACCTCCCCACAAAAGCAACACCACAAGCGCCTTCCACCCCATGTTGATTCTATAGTATCATTTCTTTCTGATATAATCATGCCCTAAGTAACCCTTGCTTGTCATGGAGCGGTCAACTGGGGAGTCTTTATTTGCGCCACTGCTTGTCGTCTTACCTTCAACACACAGTTCGTCGCACACATGGAAACCACTGTTTTCCCACAGTCGAAAAAGGTGACGTAAAGAAAATATTTGTCGTGAATATTTTATTAAAAATTTTGTCTGTGGATGTAGAATGTCCATAAGACAGAGAGGGTGAAGCTAACATACACTTTTAATAAGGAAGTACACACTGGTCATACTTACCAACATAACAGATAACAGAACATATAAATTATATAGATACAACTCCGTTGTTTGAGGCTATGCAATGCGTTTGTTTTATTACAGAGAACGTGACGATACACAATCAGCAAGGTCACAAACTCTCTTTCGGAGCTATTATGTCCAGCTGTGACCATATGGGGTGTCAGGATGGATTGGAAATCAATCAAGGGAGGTTATGTAGCACTATGTCAACTAGTTTAATCGACTTTTCAGCAAGGCTGCTAAGACGCTGTGAAATTTAGACTCAAAAGGATGCTGGAGTATCTTGAAATTCCAATTCATATGCATAAAAAAATAGTTGATGTTTATTTAAAAAAACAATTATTCAAAAACGGTATTTGAAAATGACAAGATCAAAAACTTAAAGTCCTGCA